GATAATGCGTGAGTAGTTTGTAGCCTAATAATTTAGCAATTTATTAAAGTTGGAATATTTTCAATACTTTGCTTATTTAGTGTGCACTAAATGAAAAGAGAATCGAAATTTAGAATGCGTGTGCTCAACCTAATAGAAACTCTCGTAGGACACGAATCATCTATCAAAAAGAATGAACACCCATGCTACTTTGCCCAAAATATTTTCTAAAGCAGAGCAGTAACTTTCGAACTACTGCAAATTTTATAGCGACCCTCAAGGTCGCGCACATTCAAATGGTGACAGAAATGAACTAAGAACTTAGATGTTGGAGACAAAGTCAGGAATAAATACACTGTACCCATAACCATCTATATGAAAGTATGCTATTGCAAGCTGAAATGGATTTTCAAAATGAGGGTGATGTTGCACGAGTTTGGTCAACACCTGTATAGTCAAATGAAAATGTTCGTCAATGGCTGTGATTCGTGGTTTTTGATTGTTTTTGGTGCGTGGTTGGGAAAGGGATGGAATGGGAAGATACGATCGTAACACGATTTGGAAAACGATTAGGATGTGGACGTGTCATCACGCGTTAGGGTCGTGGGTTGATGGGAAAGGTCATTTCTATCTCGGGAGGGTGTCACGTTGTGGCCAAGACAGTCTGAGTGATTGTACGAATCGTTTTGAGAACAAAGCGATGGGCTTAATAATAATAATAATAATAATAATAATAATAATAATAATATATAATATAATATAAGAATATATATCTTTTATGCTGCACATGTTGTTGGGTACTCTCCGTGGCTTTGGGAGGGTGGAGGAGGGGACAACCATTACTCCGTTTGATGGAGGCTGTTGTAAATGTACGTTTGTCAGTCGGTCTCAAAGGTGAAAAGGCTATCACGTTCACTAAGTGCTGTCATACGACGACAACCCAACTACCAAGCGTTCAATCATCGTGAAAATTTCATTAAACTCGGTCATACATAAAAATCATTAATTTGCACAAGAATAGAGCCACACAACCACTGTGAAAATTCGCACCAGAATTGTCTCATAGACAATTTCTTTATCAGTTGTAAACATGATCCACTTCGACTAGGAGCAGGCACATTCAAATCCGATCACACGCAGGCCTACCCGCCATATTACCGCAGCTTAGACATGAGAATTAATTGGAGGACTATCGGGAGAGTTATCATTATTGGTAGTAAAAGTCGTAGCCTAAGCCGTAGTGAGACTAAGTCGCTCATTGATCCACTGTCCACACGCGTGATCAATACAACTACAACGACTGAGTGTATGGGGTATGTATAGGGTATCCGGTAGCAGTAACACCTCTGACTCGGAGGGCTGTCGGCCCTTTGGGGCATCCTCCACTCTTTGGTCTCCACCAGGAGATCAGCTCTCACCTGTGGCTCCAAGAAGCTGTTTGGATGCAACAGCAGCCACACCCTGGTAAACCGTTCGACCGGCGGGTTAAACCAGGTTGAGAGTAACCGGGAGCCCAACTTTCGGTGAGTCGGTGTCTAACGTACGTGTTGGACGGACGAAGTCGCTTTCACGACTCATCGGTCAAGGCAATGACTCCGTACTCATCAGGGATGCATGGATCCCTGTTCAGCTACAAACTGTCAATAACATATGAGCTCCCCCAGAGGGCCACCGACAACCATGCGCTACCTTCCTGCTACCGTGCAGTTAGCACTTGGATTTGCAAAGGCTAGAGATGTCACCTCGACAAAAGCCGGGTGATGCTGGGGACGTTTTCTGTATCTAACTCCCAAGAGATTTCATGGATATCCACTTGACATTAATAAAGCCAGCTTATCTTCTCCCAAGAGCCAGTGGCCATTAACAAACAAAAAACAACAAAGAGAAACCTATGTACGATCAAATTTTCTAGTCCAACCTGCAACCATCAATCCGAATGCAGCATTTCCTCGAGATTACCTTCAAATGGAAGATTAATTCCGTCCAGTAACGGGCAAACTGCTTCATCGTACAGTAGAACCGGCCGAAATGCTACAGTATACATTTGACGCTTCACGGACAACAGAATGTGGCGCAACGGCGCCAAAAATGTCTTCACTTGGCAAAGGTCAACTGAGCTTTTCCGTTGCGTTACGTTGCGACACTGAATCCGGGATGCGAGAGAAGTGACGCTGAGGATGAATAGAAAACCTGTGAGCGACCTGCAAACCCGATTGTGCCTGTTCTACGATTTGTGGCAGAAAGCGGATGTATCCAACGGAGCATGAGAAAGTAAAACTGGCGAAGGGGCACCGAACGGGCAGTACGGAAGCGAAAACACGATTCCATTCTCTCCCGATATGTATATCACAACTCCTATTTGGTCAAATGAAAATAAACATACTTCACGCACCCCCATTGCGGGTTTCCGACCGGTCCGGTTATNGGTTATTAGAACCGACCGAAGTTTCGCGTAACTGACCAAGTGTACGGTTTCATGTTCGAGCGGAGTGAACCATAACACTATTATTATAAAATATAATAATACTATTTCACATTCAACTTGTGAGTAGTGATGTGAGATAATTGGTATTGATTTGAACTGATCATCCATCGGACTTCACCTTCACGCACAATTCTCAGTTTATCCAGTCAGCCATACACTCGGAAGCACTAGACTCCAGGTTGACTCTTATTACATATAGATATATATATATATATATAATAATTATTATATATTATATTAGAGCCATCCGAGCTTTGAGCCCCCGAATCATGAGCTGGTTGGCGCAGTGGTAACATACACACCTTCAAAGCGATGGGTTCAGAGTTCAAAGCCCGGNCCACGGATGAGCTCTAATCGGAATGAAACTCGAGTAGTCTAGTGTTTCCGAGTGTATGGTTGACTGAACGAACTGAGGACTGCGCGCGAAGGTGAAGGATAGTTAGTTCAAATCAATAATAATATCAATATATTATATCTTAGGTAATTCCCACAGTTTGTGATCTGGCAGTGTGGTGTATAATTCGCGCCGGAGGGCACAGTATTATTGGTTGCACTTACTTCCCTCCCTCCCTCTTGGCGAAGGGTGGCAGGCCATCAGATTGTTTGCATCTTCAAATCATGGTTGAACAAGTGAATTGAAGAGAAGGTGAAAGTCTAGAGGACGGCCAATCCAATTCAGAATCACTAAGTAACGTAGCCCATATGGCTCCAACGGGCAAACAAGACTGTTTCATCCGCGAACACACCATATCAGGTGTTCCCTTTTTTAACTTACACAAAAGGGTGGATGTTGTTGCTTCTGCG